TGAGGGTTCATCATGACTGACTGACTGACTGACAGCAACAATTTGCAGCAAAGACCTTAGAGGTACAGGTCCATACACATTGTAAGAAGGTAAAGGTAGAAAACAAGTTGCTATTGGTGAATGGCTCCACAAAAGCTACAGAGAAACACTGAAAACAAGTGGTCTTATTGTCATAGCAAAACTCAAAAATATTTAATTGACATTTTTATCATCAGGAATATTAGCCGCCACAGATATATCCCAACCTGCGATATGAGAAAATAGAACAAAATGCCTAATTTCTAAACAACTTAAATATTCACATTTTCCACTTGCTCCATCCAGTTTAAAACCCTAATAATACCATCCTTTTAAAACTTTCAAAACACATACTACAGAATGCGTCCACCTCTATGACCCCATAAGTATGTAAAATAATATTTCAGACTATGGCAAGGGACCAAAATTCTAATTTACTACACACAATAAACTATAAAGCTCTTGCACAAATGTACTAAATTGGAGAGTGGCTATTATAGTCCGCACCATGTTGGATAGCAAAAATATTTTTTATACATGGGGGAATGGAGATAATTCTGAAAAAATTCTGCAGTTGCTAAAGGAAGTTAGAAAATCAAAGAATTGGACTTTCAATAATTCCTGCATTCGAGTAGATCGATCTATGATATCCTCTTCATGAAAAATCCCAGTTTGTTCTAGCAATTTGTTCCATGTAGATTCTTGCCACACAGCATAGTGGTAGTCAGGCAGGGCCTGCCTCTCCAAACTGAGAGTCAAGTTCAGTACAGTAGCTAGTATTATGTGAAGCACAGGATTTCTGCGCTAGCAGGAAATGAGTCACAATGGCACATATAACACACACAAAAGCCTTTCTTCTAAGCAAGAGATGTTTTCATAGTGCTACCCACTGGCTATGGAAAGTGAATTTTCTCTTTAACCTTGCCTCAGTTGCCTGTACATCATTAGCATCAGTAAGTGCACCAAAACCTACCAAAGCTCTTACTGCATCTCTAAAATATTATAGCACTACTTTTCAGCTTCTTTAGTCTTGAAAAAAACTGATACACACGGGTGACAAAATTTATCTTTAGTCATTCATTTTGCTTAAGTCAAAATCACTCCCAATCTCTGCAACTTGGGCCATAAAAATGATAGAATGCTTCCTCTAAACATCTATAACAACTCTGCACCTTTCTGCTAATGGATCACCTCTGTTTTTGCTTTCTGTGCTCAAGTTTTTATGACAGCCTAAACACAGCAACCATGTTTACAAGAGTATGGGTGGTGTTCATTTTCAGCCTCACGTGCCAGCCCCACCCTGTGACACAAAACTAGCTGCCGTACAAAACCTGACTCTCCGTTTTCCTCACTAACATACATGTAGTGAAGAGTCATAGCCCCACCCCCCCATTAATTGCATCCGTGCAAAAGCTCCACAATTACACACATAACAGGCCAAATGATAGGTGTGACTGTTATAGTGTTAAACATGCATGTAACATCACTATAATGTTAGATTACTCTCACAGTTAATGCCTGCTTCAACTGCTTCAACACAATTCACACCCGTTTCCAACAGGTTTTTTGCCACTCCAACAGCATCTAAACCGAAAGACCATGTAGCTACACAAGCCATGTGATGATGATTGCAACTTATTTATGAGATTATTTACTCTAATATCAAGAGTACATAATTATAATGACATAATCTACAGAGAGTGTCTAACCAAATTAAATAGCTGAAACATCACCGCGTAGTCTTTTCTTGTGCATCTTTGGGCATTT